CCATGGTCCTAATCATCCTCTATACGGACCTGCTGGGTAACGCCACAAAGAACCTGAGAATGGGCTCCCACAGGACATACAGAACATCCCACAGCAGGAAGGAGTCTTACTTGGCGTCACTGAGCAAGTTTGAGACAGAGCCCAGGTCTTGTACCTCCACTGACTGGAGTTGCCAAAGGCAAGCCAGCAAATGTGAATTCTTACCTTTTAGGGTGGATGTCTGGCCTCTCAGGCCATCTCATTCTTTACTGACACAGTGTCTCATTCTATAGCTCAGGCTTGACTGGAACTCCTGGACTTCCTCCTGCCTCAGCCTTCAGAGTGTCAGGATTGTAGGCATGAGCCTCCATAGCCACTTTACACAGAATCTTAAGTGTTTTTCAGCCATTCAGGACTGATGAAGGAGGATGACTCTGGGAATAAGAAATCAGTGTGGCTTTAGTTAGGAGGAGAGGAGATCAGAGCAGATCAGAACAAGGGGACTTGAGGCTGAGGTGCACCTCTGAGGCTCAGGGACCAGCAGATCAGTTGCTGCCAGTCAGGGGTATATAAACAAATCGAGGCTGGAGTGAATGGCAGGAGGCCTGAGGATCAGCACCCAGCCCCCAGCCACCTAGCGTGACTAGGAAGTTTTGGCTCTCATTGTGGAAGGGCATCTGATCTCTCGAAAATGATTCCTTGGCTTCCTATTGACTACCTACTATGTGCCTGGTATTGGCAGGGTGCTGGGGCTACAAAACAAACGAAATAAAGGTTGAAATACATAGATAATCCTCAACAAAATCATTCTAGAGAGCCAGGCACAAGTGACCACCACATAGTGTGAAGTCCTGATTCCATGACATGTTCAGAGGAAGTAATTGCATAGACACAGAAGTCAGTGGGGTGGACTGGACTGCCAAGGGAAGAGCGGATGGATGAGGGATGATGGAGAATGTCCTAACACTGTTCTGTAGTGATGGCTCACACAACCCATAAATGCACTAAAATCAGTCTTGTGCATTTAGGTGAAGTTTATGGTGTCTACATTATAGGTTTTGACAAGCTGCTTCTTGTTGTTCTTGTTTGTTTTTTAATCACAGGACTCAGTCAGGGATAGGGCCCCAGAGAATCTGCATTTAACTTGGAGGTGAAGCCAGCATGTGTCAGCACTCAGGACAGGTGGGAGCCCAGAGGAGAGCCATTTTTACCATAGAAAATACAGGCTTGCCCTCACTGCGCCATCCACACCAGCCCCTAGGATTTTTGTCCTCTTCTCACACTGACTCTTATTCCCCTTCCAGGGAGGGAAGTGCTGGCTTTCAACCTGGCCGGTTAGCAAGAGGAAGGTACACTGGGTTGGGGGCACCAGCTTCCAGCCATGTCCCAAGCAACGGATGGGAGCTGGGAGGATAGACGGGGCGTGGAGTTGACACAGCACATCTGCCTTCAGCTCCTAATTTGATGTGAGTGACTTCTGGGTACCTGTGTGGTCCTCTCTAGATCTAATTGTGTGGGTCCCTCCTAGGCTCCCTGGACAGCTCAGCAAGCAAAGAATTAACATCTGGCCCAGTAAGGGACAACCAGGACCTCACCAGTGTCTGTGCTGTTTAGTCTGTCACCCTGGTGAGGTTTGTTTGCTTGACTGTTTTGTTCCATTTGGAGATAGGTTGTGGTTATGGTGCCCAGGCTGGTGGCATTAAACTCCTACCTCTGTTTCCTAAGTAGCTTGGACTATAGGAGTCCACCACTTACCCAGCTTGTGGCATATTGATTGATTTTTTTTATGGTTATCCCACCATTTTCTTGGTCTCAGGACTCTAAGGTTTAGAGGTAAATTGTTTGGGATGTGGTTCCCAGACTGACTTAAACTCTGGTCTTCTATCTCTTCTTGTTAGGTAGCCGCTCAGCTCTTGAGGATGCGGTTGACTCGGGCATAGTCCAGCTCCTTAGATAGTGGGGATCTGGACTTGAGGCCCAGGTCTGATGTGGGAGAAATTGCGTTTCTTCTTGGAAGGGCCAAGAGGTTTGCAACATGGGTGTGGGAAGAGGGAGCTCGGGATGATCTCCTTTGTGGTTCCAACCTGCCCAGGAGCCTGGGACACCCTTGCCTGTGGGCAGTGCCCTGGAGGTGAGTCACAGGGAGGAAGACTGTTCCTCTCTAGAAGGAGGCCACCCACCAAGGCTTCATTATCCTGCACAATGTAAAGTAATTGCCTCCTTTTAGTCAGTGCCTAATAGGAACCCAGCACTGTGGGAGGTGCTTCCTCTGCTTTATCCCACTTAATCCACCAACACAGCAAAAGGTAGGCGGTAGTCTTCTTGTTACTGAAGAGGAAACTGAGGCTCAGGGTGAGGCAGCCGGGTAGTGCGCATTCCTTCCCTTCTGCTGGTTGCAATCTCACTCAGCTCAAGATCTGTCTCATTCCCTGCCTCCCCTCCGGGCCGTCTCTGTCCTGTGTCCGCCACTTGCCTCATGGATTGTGGGTCTCAGAGCGTCGGTTGCCGTACTAGCCTGGAGCTTCTAAAACCCAGGAAGCTGGTCCTACTGGGCTCTGTGGGTTGGGCCCCTCAGTCTCCGGGCTGGACCAAATAACCAAGTTAAGAAGGAACTCAACCAAGGTCACAAGGGGTAAAGCGAGTCCTGGCCCTCACCTCGCCCTTCAAGGTCAACATGGTGACCCTTTAAAAGTCATAAGGAAACAACCCAGTGAGTCTGAGAATGAGGTCACTCTGCTGGCAAGTAGGGGATCTGGAACCAAACTGTGGCCTATCTGGGCCCAAGGCCCATATTCTTTTCAGCATGTCAGGGAAGCTGCCTAATGTTTTAGCCTGTAGGGTTCTTCTTTATTACTGTATCCACAAACCACCTGTTAGTTAAGCCAATAGTTTTTCTTTAAAACAACCCACTTAAAGAAAAGAAAAGCAACCCTCTACATTTATTCTAAAAAGAAATGTTGGCTGGGAACCCACTATCACTGAACTATCTATTAAGTATTTTACCAACCAGCCCCCATGGGACTGGACTAGGCCCTCTGGATACAGGAGACAGTTGTTTAGCCCGAACTATTTGGGGGACAGCCGTCGGGGGGGGGGGGGGGGATTGGGATCCATCCCTGGTACATGGGCAGGCTTTTGGGAGCCTGGTGCCTGCGGTGTGGGACCTTGCACAGCCTTGGTGCGTCATCGTCGGGTAGGGGCTTGGACCTGCCTGGGGTAGATGTGCTGGCCTCTGCTGACTCCTCATGGGAGATCTTGATTTGGAGGATGTGGGGATGGGGAGTGGCTTGGGAGGGAGAGCTGGGGGGTGGGAGGAGGGAGGAGGGGGGATCTGTGGGTGGTATGTAGGGTGAGAATTTCTTAATAAAGAAAATGAAAAGAAAAAAAAGTATTTTACCAACCAAGCTCATCGGAGCGCATCCACTGTTGTTTCGGGTACCATGAGTCAATGCTCTGTGACTACACCCTGTGCCCCAGTGCTCCGTATTGCTCCCGGGGACCCTTTCAAGTCTCTCCTCTCTCCGTCCTGTTTACTGTTTGTTTGGTCACACGATGCTTAGAGTTCTGAAGGGTGTTGGAAGGGACACAGACTTTCATCATGTTCTTGAGTCAAAGACCACTTGTGGCATGTGTCAGGACAGCTATAGGGAGCTAGTGAATGTGGAGTTCAGATTCTCTCTCTCTCTCTCTCTCTCTCTCTCTCTCTCTCTCTCTCTCTCTCTGTGTGTGTATGTTTCATACTGCTCATAGTTCATTGGCCAGAACCGGCCACATGGTGCAGCCTTACTGCAAGAAGGCAGGACATGCAGACTCCCCAATACCCAGGAAGGAAGAATCAAATACCAGCATTCACAGAGAGGAATCAATACAATTGTTCTTCTACCCATGAGAGAACTGAAGCCCACAGAGGTAAGTGGACCAAAGCCACACTGATGGGCAGTGGTTAGGCCAGGATTTGAACCCAGAAAGGCTGATATGGGGCTTTAATATATCTCCCCATATTAAGATTCCTAATTTAATCATGCCTATGAAGACCCTATTGCCACATAAAGTAAGACTCACAGCACCAGGGATTAGGAAGTGGCTACCCTTGATGCCATTACGCAGCCTTCCACACCATCTGGGAGAACTCTTACCGCGAGTCTAGTTATCATTGGCTGT